TAAATTAGCTCTAGGTTGCCATTGGTTACTTCACCTCAAACGTAAAGAGACAGTTAAACTTCAATCGTGGCTGACAACTGACGAAATGTGAAGCAACATTTCATAAAAAAATTTCTTTTACGACACAAAAGTAACTTAAATGCATTTCCACCTGTTACATTGAGATTAAAAAGCGTGGTTGAAAAAAATATATGATAAATACTTCACCAAACAGCCAACATTAATAATGCATGGCCTCCAATGATGAAGTTTTGTTTCCATCAGAAGTGATAATCCTATCTTTAAGAAGGCCTTTTAGAAATAAAGCTATCTATCGCGTCTTTTTCTATAAGCTTCGAAGGAAAAAATAAGCTAAAGTCCAAACCTTTTTCAAAATTAGGCCAAGTCAGAATGTGCTAGCAAGGAGTGAATTTGCAAGTTCAGCTGGATGAATTCCTAGTACTGGATAAGGAGAGGTCCTTTAAGAAAAGGGAATCTAAGTTGGCAGGTTGATATAAATATACTTTTGTTTACTTGGTAAAAGTGAGGAAAGGACTAGCGAAAAAATCTAGGTTCCAAGGGCTTCACAAAGTGTTAGAAATTTCCCTCCCTGCTTATCTAAAGGTCAACAGACGCCGAAAAGCAGTACTTTAGTAATCATAAAATGACAGCCATAACAAAAATCAACTTAACCTTAATCAACAATCAATTTAACATCATGTTAATATTGCCATCCCACATATTTTGGTTCGTAAATCTATGCTAAATAGGATGAACATCTTTTTTCACGCCTATTTATGAAAACTGGCCATTCTTTATGAAAACGAACCTAAACATCTCACTGTTCGATGAGACATGCAGCCTGTGGCGTAGCTATCCACCTGCAGCAACTCTTTACAACTCACCAACGAACTATTCATCTTATCATTTCAGAAGAAAAATTGGTTCATATCTTGAAATTTCATTATCTAAAAAGACTCTTTCTAGACAATTCAAGAAAGGTTCTTTTACGCACAATCAAACAATTACTTCCAAACATCGAGCCCTCCAAAACAGCCAAGCCCCAAAACAGCCAGCCCTCCAGAACAGCCAGCTCTCCAAAACAGCCAGCTCTCCAAAACAGCCAGCTCTCCAAAACAGCCAGCCCTCCCAAACAACCAGCCCTCCCAAACATCGAGCCCTTCCAAACAGCCAAGCCTCCAAAACAGCCAAGTCTCAAAACAGCCAAGTCTCAAAACAGCCAGCCCTCCCAAACAGCCAGCTCTCCAAAACAGCCAGCTCTCCAAAACAGACAGCCCTCCAAAACAGTGAGCCCTCCAAAAGAACCAAGCTTCCAAAACAACCAGTCCTCCCAACCGCCAGTCCTTCTCGACCGCCAGACTTTAAACACCGCTAAGAACACAAGTTGTATACGATGCACCCAAGAAGCCCACTGTCCCCTGAGCAATCTAATGTTTTTCTATCGACAAAAATAGCTAATAGTCCAAAGTAGTAACCACAAAACGACAATCCAGATAATTAGCAGCCTAAAATGAAAACTCGGTAACTTTGTTGCATGTCAAAACAAAAAATCATGTAACACACCTTTTTAAATCATAAAGGGAAATGATGAAAAATTCATGATTGCGAGACGGTATAGAATCCTTTTCATACGAAGCAAAATCATTTTTTCAGCGATATTGATTCAATTGTCGTAACCGGTACTAAATGGATGAAAAGGTTTTATAAATCATCATAATATTGGGACTTAAGGCAGTGGTTCACCATTGCTGATGAAATAAATAGTGTTTAAATGGATTGAGATTCCCCTTAAAACTGGCGATTGTTACAATAATAAATATCTCATTTTATCTTAAAAGGTTTATTTCGATCCCAGCCAACGAGAAAACTAAACACAAATTAAGATCTCCCGCATACAGCTGGAAACAGTATTTACTCATACTCCAAGTCCTTATAAATCTGCTGGTTTAACATGAATGAAATTACCAATAAAGAATTTAAATTCAATACAGAATAGTTTAGAGCATTTTTGGATTCACCATCCTAACTGTTACTTGAGTCTCGATTTGCCAGCCTCGCTTCTGTACGAAAATGTAAGGACCAATTATTGACATTCAACACGTTTTAGTTATTGTCCTATCTTGCAATTCAGTGGGTTAGACGATAAGGACTAATCCAACATTTAATCTAGCAATCCTCATTGCAGTTTCCAAATCCGGATTTCGGCTTGAAAATTTTTTGCTCAGATTTGAACACTTTGTTTCAAATATAAAACCTTCATTTAAATTTTGAAATCCTTTGTTTCAATCTTGAAACCTCGAAATATTAAAATATTTTTCAAAACCTGCAAAGACAGTTTCGCCTAACCAGTGGTTTTTTCGAAATGGCATACCCTCTCTTCGGTCTTTTGCTCAATAAAAGAAGCGAGAGGAACTGGAAGACAATTTGCTTGCTCTACCTAAATGTAATCTTTAAGTCTCTCTATATAACGCATGCAGAGCTGATCCGCATCAATAGCTTTTAAACCACAATCCTGAACAAAATCTGAACGCAATTTTATGAAGAAACTACTGACCATTCCCGCATTTTCTAACATTCTAGGATTAACCATATCAGTCCGGTCGTCTTTTCATCTAGCAGTTTTGGAATCGATCTACAATGCAGGCCAAAAGTACTTGGAACACCCAGCAAATTGTGTTGCATTTATATCTTTCATTCCTTTTCCGAAAAGAAAATTACTACTTCCGCCCCTTTCCCCTAGAAAAATGTTGATAATTTAGAGAAATACCAAAAAAGAAACGCACACGAAAGTGCTTCCTTAAATCCTAACCCATTTCATTGTAAACCAGCATTTTTCCTTGGGGAGAGCGGGATGATCGATTTTAACTTTGCGAAATGGCGCCAGTGTTCCAAGACTTTTGGCAGGCATACAGATAAAAAAGCCCCTTTTGTAGACTGGCGCCACGCAGCCATTTGGTTAGCAGGAGTTATAGCACCCCCCCCCCCCACACACACACACAATTTTTTGCAATAATAGGCTGGAAAATTTTTTTGGAAGGTTCTTACTATTGATAGAGAACTATGGACTCTAACTAAGGATTATTTACTTCTATGTAGTAGCAGTTCTTCTTGACTGGAAACCCTTTTTGTTCATTTTCTAGGTGTCTTTTTTAAAGATCTAATATATTTTCTAACTTGGTTAGCTTGGTGTTTTGTTACCCTCGAGCTAACTTCATCAATATTTATAGTTATTGATATCTTAGCTGAACCAGACTGTTCGTACAAATTGAGTAGAAATAAGTTTTAAGGCCTTAAACGAAAGTGGTCGAATCGATCGAATTCAATTGATATCGATCGACTTCACACATGCGCACAATCCCCTTCGACCGCTATCGACCGCTGTCGATCGAATTCGAGAGGCTTGCCAACCAATCGGATTCAGAATAATATGACATGTGATTAAGATTGTGTAGGCCTACAGTAAATACCCATTCTATAGCCCGTTCTGCTTGTATCGCGTGTATATCCATTTTCATTTCACATACTTTAAATACAATCGTAGCTTTAGCTTTATTGTGAACAGTTTGCATATATGATTTTTATCATTATAACACATTTTTTTCCTAATTATAACACACTATCATTATATCCTAAAACACAATTTCCCACTCAATTAAGGAAATTATTTCTTTGCTCTCGTTTCTAAAAATTACTTTCCGATGAAGACACTTTTTTCCTCAGACTTTACAGGGAAATGATTAAAAACTTCCAAGAGCGGTCTACAGGCAAGTGGAAACGGGTCTATCGACCCGGATTATCAATCGAATCGATCGACGTCGATAGGCACGCAGTACTGATTCTGATTGGACAACTATACTGGTCATGTGACTGGGTATATATTTTCAATCCTGTTCTTTCGGCACCTTATTCTGACGTTTTATACTCTGGAGAGTGTCAGACGAAAAAAGCTTTTAGTATATCTTAAAATTTTTGCTTTTTCAAACCCTATTTTCAAACTTTGTATCGCAAAAATTTGTTATCAAATGTTCTCAAATTCAAAAGCCTGCGTCACAGACCAAATGGAATATCAAGTCGATAAGCTAGATGTAAAAAGAAGTTTTCCAGAAACAAATTAGCTTTCAGCTTACTGATTTTTTTTAAGAAACTCTACACACTTTTTTAATATTTCAATCTATACAATATTTTTTCAAAACTTTTCCATCAGTCCTTTCATAACAAACTTTTCAGTTTGATCCAAAAATGAGTTTGCTATAGGCAGGTATATTCAGTACTGAAGGCAAAGTTTCTAACATAAATTCTTTATAGAAAATAATACATTTTAAAACCTTTGATTAACATCCCTCCTAGACTCTAAAATTTAAAAAGAAATTCGAATGAAGCCATAACAAGATTGGCCGTTGTCAAGGAAAGGTTGAAAAATACAAACCAGTATGGTGTGAAAAATTCTTTTCTAATTGTTTTATCTGGCTAATTTGTATTTTTAATTGAATACTCAAATCAGCAGAGGATACATGCATTGAAACGACAACAGGGCTTCTCAAAAACACGATTATGGATAAAGAAAGACAGAGTTTTCCAATTATAAAGAAACTTTTTGTGAGGCAACAATAACAGCAGGTTGAAGTTATCAGAAAATCCGCGAGGTTCTTTGGTGTCACCTCCGTTGTCTATGACATTAAAGCCTAGATGATTAATCTTTATTCTTTCGTTTTAGATAAAAAATTCTGAGGAGCATCGCGAGCAGCAAAAGATGCGGAAACATTGAGAATTCGAGAGCGGACTCTCGCTAAACAACAAATCGCATGAATATGACGGAAAAGCCTACGTGTGAATTTTAGAATAATCAAATACGCTCACGCGGTTACGCGGCTTGTATGGAAAATAATCACTGAAAGGACACTATTATCGTTGTATAGGCACCAGCTACACAATTTAATGGAAAGGTGGCAGATATAGCAGCTTTCTACGGACAGCAACCATACGTGCCTCCATCAATAAATATGGAAAGTATTAATGCAAAAGGATTGTATAAAATATCATCGCTGACTATATTACTGCTAAGCTATAGCGTTGTACAAAATTGGAAGTCGGCAAAAGCTAAAGATATTACATTGAATTTATACCAACGAAAAATCGTACGGAGAAATTTGGTCTACCAGGCGAAAAATAATACTAACAGCACTGAGCCATCCGGTGAGTCATTTTCTGTCTGTATTTTGTATTGCAAAGGAAGCTACGAAATTGCCGAGCAACAGTCGATGCTTTGTTAGACCATAGTTAGAAGAAGGATGTTAATACGTCGAATATTGTGTAAATATTGACTAAATGCATTGAAGTGACTTTTTAGAACAGTTTGTCTAACTGGCTTCAAAACTCTTTCAATAACATTTTAAACAAGGAAATCCGATATGAATGCAATAGATTTCATAAGTCTTTTCTGATTTCTGTAATCTTTTCTCAGTTCTCCTTTTTTGAAAATGGAATTGCATTCGCTGCAGAGAAAGGCTGCACTGCAGTAAGCTACACTCTCTGTGACAAAACGTTGAATAATAACTTACGAGTTAAAATTAATACTCCGAAGCAGTGACTTGACTTTTCGCTTACCATCCTTGTCTATGAGCCAGAATTTTACAGCCCCCGTTGCATTCCACACCCTTCCTGCCAAGATCTATGCCCTAAAAGTTCGTCCCCTAAACGGTGCAGGCGTGCTTTCCTAGTGCTTTCAGTCTGGCGACTTAACATGGCGTGAATATTTAGGAGGCGAAGCACAACAGCAGCAAAATCGTGGCGTTAGACAGCAGGCTACAAATATTTATAACATTTATCTCACAAACAAAAAAGCAGCGTTGTTGACTAAAACTTAAAAATAAGTAAAATGAGTCAAATAAATAAAAGTAAGTCATAAACAGGATTTTTGAAAAAATGGAAATTTTCCTTTGAAAATCTGAAAAAAACCTTTAACAATAAAGGTAAAGGAATGCAGTTTGGCTCTTAAAGCTCCTACACAAGCCAATGACTTGTAATTACGTTATCAACATGATCCCTATATTGCTTTCTGTGTTGACGTAGCACCTAAGCAAGATTATCAAATTGTCTATTTTTATTGGGCACCTCCCAACCTGCATTCGTACGGCCATCTGCATTCTGGCAGGCTTCCTACGTCCCTGGAGAGGGCTCTTCGTTGCCAGAACATCCCGTGGGAACAAAACCAATGCACTGGTGGAGTTAGCAAATTCTTCATGCGATTGGAAGAGCCGGGCCAATTCAAACTAAAAAGAAAATTATTCATTTCGATGCACTGTATGATTTAATCTGATTTTGGCGTTCCATAATGTATGAACAAGTACAACTACAGACCAAGATTGCGCAGGGATCTTATAACTAACTGCTTTGTAATTGAGCCCTTTATAACTAACAAGCTTTTCAAACTACATTTAACATTTCGTCCAAATCCTTCAACTTTACAAAGCGTTTCTGTTCCAACAGGTGATTCTTTTTGCAAGGACACACTCTGGACTCTTTATCGATCAAGATGCTATAGAGTATATGACACATTTGAATATTTTTCATCGGCAAACAAAATGTGCACTGACAATGGCGGGACGCTAGCGACAATACAAGATCAACAAGAAAACAAATTAATAGAAAAGCTTGTAGCTTCAAATACACGATACAACGAGGCTTGGATTGGACTGAGGTACCAGTCCGAATCGAACGGCTATGCATGGATCGACAAGACTATAAGCAAATACACCAACTGGTTATTTCAAAGACCAAACAACCAAGGATTGTGTGTACATATCATACCTGGGGGAGTATGGAGCAATACTTTATGCTACAGGAAGCTACAATTTGTATGCGAGAAAGGTAAGTTTCATAAAGAATTTTGATGCAGTAATACAAAATGCCATAGAAACTAAGGGGAAATTCACTCTCCCAAAAAACGTACAAGATTTCCATAAAAGCAAAACAGATTTATAGGAATTATTCAATTCAAATAGTAGAATTGTCACAAAACTTGTACGAGATTTCCATGTAGTGATTACCTCCTCGATAAAGATGATGCAACACATGCTGTTAGTTGCTAAGTACGGTATGTTTTAATGAAAGAATCAAAAACACACTTTATCCATAGCGTATTAGCTCCTAAACCGAGCCTTGTGACTTTTCTTGCAACATGGCAGAACAGAGCCTGAATATTTAAATAAGGAGTAACACTTTATTTTTTTCTACCGATGCAGTATTCAGGACCATATAGTAGCCAATGGCAGACTATATGACCCTGAGTTCGACGTTATCGGACGCGCTGAACTTAGATCTTTTCCATAAACTTGCATAAATAACCATGGGTTTACATTTCGTTTGCTATCGTTTAATCAAGCAAGTTCCAGGTCACTTGACATTTGTGCTGGCTCTATGATGTGACAGCGCCCATTATTTTACAGTTGAATATTAACTATTTTAGTTAATATTCACAGAAAACACTAATGGTCTTGATACTTTTATATGAAAGCGCACCTCGAAGTACGCTTGGTGTCTTAGCTGGTCAAAACTAAAGTTCGGCAAATTCGGCAAAAAGATATTGACAAAAACTAGCTACAGCGAGAGAGTGTTCCTCTCTCCCTGGGGCCATCTCAGCCTTGGTTACATGCGGTGTGTAAGAAAAAAGATCACAATAAATTACGTCACTCCTCGATTGCAATGTGTATAAACTACCGTTTCAGCAAGAGGGAGAGGGAGAGGGAATTAAAAAGATAGCGATATGAAGTAGTTTGGAGAATAGTTGTTGCACAGAAGGAGCTGTACTGTAAAAGCAAAGAATAACTGCAACGCAGCGAAGGTCTTGGAAATTCAAAATTGTGGGATAGGTTTTTTATTTTAGCTATTTTTTGTTATAGATATGTTTTTCTGTTGATAAGTTTTGAAACTTTATAACATAACAGAACAGTACAAATCATCCATGAATCGTAGCGCAAGTTCCTTGGTCCAGATTAATCTGGTCCAACAAGAGCGAAAAATGTTACAGCCAATCAGCTTTTTGCTCTCAAGTGGTGTAAATGCATAAACAAAACATATTTGTAATCGTGTTGTATCGAATATAAAGAAAAACGCCTTCCACGGCAACGGTCGATATTTTGAAATTCCATGCTTCATTTACTGCCTTCTTTTCTTAAAGTATTGTCTTGGAAAATTTCCATAAAATAGGTTATTATAATATTTACGTATCTTGAGGTGGAAGGCCAAGGCAAGACATGAGACTTCATACAGCAAGCAAACTCATCTCTCTATTCACACACGTGTTTACATTCTGTCTACGCGTTGCCCAGGGGGCCTGGGACCTACTCTACTACAGTTATTAACAGTTGAAACTCTGAAAAAATCAACCGCAACATAATACATTCGCAATGAAACACTGTTTAGGAGACAAGCACCTCGCGTAGGCATAGCTTTGGGTGCCTTTTGAATCTAAATTCAATATAAACGGGCTGAAAAGAAATGTTTGAGTGCATCTGCAAGCAAATACCTAGCAAGGGTTTTAGAGAGCAATTTTGATTTTTTGCTCCAAAAACTTTCAATTTCCTTTCATGAACAAAAGATACTGACAGGGGCGGACTGACAGGTCGGACACATCGGACATGGACCGACGGTTGAGTGCTACAGGGGGACCGAGTGCTACAGGAGGCCTGGCTCTATTTAGTTCCAGTCATTTGTTGTCCTCTTGGGGCCCGTCCAGCTTATGGACCAAAGTCCAGAAACCTGTCAGTCAACCCTTGAAAACTACATCCTTAACCTTGTTTATCGCTTTGAGTAATTTGAAGCTTTTGAAAGGAGTGGAGGAGCACAACAACTGAATAGGATCTTTACCACTCCAATTGCCGTTGAAACCTAGCCACGTGATTAGAACAAAACACCCATAATCAATTGAGAGCCTTTTCAGTATCAAAAATGAAAACTTTTGATGTTAAGGGTATATTCTAATTGCTCTTCAATTGTTTGGGGCATTTGCCCTTCCTATGCCAAACTTTTGCAAGTCTGGTATATCGAACTTACAAGGGAAATGAAAATCAGTTCGCAATAGCGAATACTCGGAAGAACGGATAAACCATCAAATTCTGAAATTATTTTGGTTACAAAGTATTGTATAGTATACAAGATTGAATGCCCAATTTTACCAAAAAATCAACTATTTAATAGTATAATTTAGGGCCAGCTTTACAATATTGTTGAACTGCTGCGGCTGCAAATCTCGATAGAGTGATCATGAATACCGTGTATAGGTTAATGCCTCGTAGGATATATATGAATACTAGACGATAGCGTGTGTTGCTTTCGAGTTGGTAGATAAGACGAGTGTTTTTGTAGCTTGCTGAATCAGCTTCGCTGTTTACCATATTCTCTGATGGATTTTATTATGATAATTAGATTTTAAGCATGATCCAATTGCAGCATCGTCACCGGCATTTATACCTACACCTACATGAGTGATTTTAAAGTGCTTATAGAATGTCCGAGTTTTGTTAACGTGGGTGCAACAGGGGTTGGTTGTGCGAACCTAGCTGATAATGTTGATCATACTATATGAACAAGCTCTGATGACTTCTTCTTCGGAGTTTTTCCTGGTACAAAATGTTTACATGTGATGTTTAGCTTTTAATCAGTGATGAGATATCCTCACTTTGAAGAGTTGCTCGTGACGTCATACATAGCATGACCAAACTCTCTCAGCGCATTTGATTGGTTCAGACCAACTTAGGCGTTTGTTCTAGACAATAAGCGAGTAGACTCATATTCACAAACAGTACATAGCAAACAATTGATTCATAATTTTCAATATTTCAGCGGAAGTCGTCCCCGTAAAAGAAGATAACAGAACAAAAATAATCATAATGGTTACAATACCACTATCCTGTGTTGTCATCATGCTGATTTTTATATCCTACTTATGTTTCCGAAGTCACCTCGAAATGAAGGTGTTGAGAGCAGAGGAGAAGAAGATTTCGCAACACTTTGTTGATGTAGTAGCAAATAACGCAACCGTTGCTGCTCACGACTCAGATATTGCGCAACAGTACGAGGGAAATGACGTTGCAGAGCAGCAGGATAGCCGGGAGGAGTACATAGATAGATACAAAGAGCGACGAAAGCGAACTTACTCGGCTCCAAATGGAAAAGAGAAGATGTATAAGCAAGTGACCTTTGTGTAAAAACGGGTTTAGACTAGATTTTTCTATATGTTAATATTTAATGATGTTAAAAAGGTCCAACAGGACCAAATTCACAACTTGTAGCAAAGGAGATTTATATTGCACAGTAAAAAAGCAGCAAACCGTATTTCCAAAACGATGCCTCTGGATAGAAGCATGGAACAGGTTTCACATGACGTAGAACAAAAGATCTTTCCCATCCAAATACCGATATCCCTTCCGCTATTAGAGCTAGCATTCATTAAATTGCCCCTTAAAAGCTCAAGACATGCTTGCTAACCCATGTCCGGTCAATAAAAACCAGAAGTGCATTATGACAAAAAATACATGACTTTTCTGGATTTTTAAACACCACAAAAATACAAAAAACGTTTTTGTAATATCATCTTCAGGAGGTATCGAAGCTCCTAAAATACGCCAATTCAACAATTTCTGACAAACTCTTTGAAAAAGGACTCTCCTTAAAAGTCCTATTGGCAATTTAGAATGTCTTTATAACGGGCTATAAAAGCTTCAGTCTTAATACAGTGGAACCCCGATATAACGAACTCTGAAGAGAACGAGATAATAGTTCATTATATCGGGAGTTCGTTAAACCGAGAGATAACGTTATTTGGGTCCTTCCGCAGTTCACGCCTAAAAAACATCCAACTCCAACCTCTGTGCACATTTAACTCCAATCTGATTTAACTCCAATTTAACTCATAAAAAACCAATCTGAATTCAAATAATACAACTACAACTGGCTGGGACCAAGAGATTGGCAAAGCTGGTATCACTTCGCTCCTAGTTGGTGCCTGAATGATGTCTTAGATTACTTCATATTCTTATTTGTCTTCTTCTGCTTCTCCATCTGGGTCTCTCAATAAAAGTTTTGTCGCCGCTCATTGCCAATGTCTCATATATAAGAAGGTGTTCGTTAGTGCCAATATACTCATTTGCAGTAATTTCTGACGCAATCAAACTTTCATCTCGTGCACTGGTTAGTCTATCAGCCAGTGCTTGAAGTGTATTATTGGCATGTTTTGCCGATTACAAAAATGATTTTCCCCCAAAAGAAAATCAAAATCAATTGACACCGAAAACAAATAAAAGATAAAAATTTATAAAAAGTTCATTATATCGAGGGTAATTATAATGAAGGGACCTAAAAATTGGTTTATAATAACGAGAATTTGTTAGGCAGAATCCAAGGTACTAGACATTTAGTTCGTTATACCGGGATTTCGCTGCATTAGTATTCACGTTTGCCACCAACCGTATTTACTAGATTATAAGCCTACCTCGCTTATAAGCCGACCTCGTTTATAAGCCGCCCTCGTCTATAAGCCGCCCTCGTCTATAAGCCGCCCTCGTCTATAAGCCGCCCTCGTCTATAAGCCGCCTTTGACTGCAATCAGCAGCAAAACGTACCAAAATATAATTGAAAGCGGAGACTTCAGGAGAATTTCAGGTTAATAATTCATAAAGAAGTAGCCAGTAGAGAATAATTAGTACAAAAACTAACATAAAACTTGTTTTTACCTTACGAAAGGATATTCCAGATCATATTAAATACCCAAGCTATAGAACTTTCCTTAAGGAGTAGGTTGTTTGGAGCTGAAAGAGTGAAAAGAGAAACCCTAATCCCTATCAGATTATATAATAGTATTTTTTATGACACTAAATACCCAAACTATTTTCAACGAAAGTCAAAACACATTGGACTGTAAAATTTTAGCTACAGTCTGTATGTGTTCAATAGAAACACACAATGTGTTTGTCTTCAAATTTCCCCTGATGTCTTTTTGCACTTTTTTGCTGTTTCAAAAGCAGCTACACAATTTCATGTTGAAAATTTTCTAATCTTCAGCAAATATTTCTTTCTAACTGACGTATATAAATTTCATTAATCATTTGATTCTTCATAATATGCTCCTCAATAACATCAGTACTGTCGTTATCTGTATCGAGAGCTTTCTGTTTGAGCAAATTAAGAATCCGATACATTTATCCTTCATCTGTTTTTGAAGGAAGTGTGTCCAAAAATGTATAGTACGATCGCTAAAACTAATGACGAAATGCAGACATGAACTCAGCTGTTCTCTGATTTGATTGTTTTAAACCAAGGTTCTTGTATGTCATGGTTTGGACTGGGTTACACCCCTTTGATCGTTACCAAAGAATATCTGTATCGTTACGTCAAAGAATGCTTCCTGTACAGAAAAGACTGCTGTTTCCAACACAGACACGACGTCGACATACATAAAAAATTTGTCTGTTCAAAACAGACCTGGAACCAACAACATACATGTTTTCTTATTAGGTAAACCCTTATCAGCCCTAGGAATTGCTGGTTTCCATGTTAAAGGCAAATGACAGATAAAAAGTGGCTTGAACAATCTGTCAATCAAAATTAGCCAACCAATAGGCGGCGTGACAGTGGAATCACGCTCATTGATTGGTCAATTCTAGATTGAAAGATGGTTTGAGCCTCTTTTGAAAATAACTAACTATCAGGGTTCAGATAGGCTAAAAGTGCCTCTGGTTAAAATAAATACCAATGATAAAATTATCATTCAATTTACGTCAAGTCACAACGGACAGGGTTGGTAGGACTTTAAAAGTCGATAAACAGATAACGAGTTGTGATTCAGACTAATCAAATTCTGTATAACGTTTTATATGAGCAGCAATACAAACAACTAATCTATACCTCACATCATCATCATTTAAAAAATCATGATTCATTCTATACTTCACCATATAAAGTGGTTTGCAATCAAAGGCCCGTTAAAAAAGGTGAAAAATATCTTGGTGATAAATCAAGTAAATATTGATTCTTTATAAATTATGTTATATTCAATATTGGCTACCCAGGTTGAAGGTCGGGACTGGTTCATAATAAACCTTGCATGGCTTATTCTGCAGCAGGGAATGCTGTATGTTTTGTGCATAACGACGGATCATAGTTCGGAAAACAGGAAGCGTAAAGTTCTACTTTTTAAACAGTTTCTATGGTCTGTTTCTTTAGGTCTTGTTCTTATTGCAACGTATGGGACCAGAGTACACGAAAATCAAATCGGGAGTTAGACAATATTTTTTGCGCCGGAAGCAGCAAGGCATTAATGGCTTCATCATAATTTCTCCTTGTTTTCTATCCCTTTCCTAAATCTAACATAGAAAAAATCTTTTCACGTTGTTCAGAACTAAGTCAATTTCTTTTTTGGGGACAGCCAGCTTACTGCCCCAGGGAAACCACTTCACGTTCTACCCTTCATCTTAGAAACCGGAATGAGAAGGGCAAAAAGTGCCAACGTGCTTTACCAGTGCCAAATGACTCGTAAAGAGCCCGCACCCTTATTCCTTTATTGATATATGCTGAGGTGGGGGTGTTCCAAACGCAAAAGCGAATTTCGCGTAATCAAGATAGCATCGCTATTAACATCAAAAATCAAATCATCCCTCTTACCTTTTCCAGGATACACACTATTTTTCAAACTACATGTCGTCATCATCATCAATGCCATCTGACACAGTTTCCTTGTCTACGTCGGATGTATTTATCTCTTCATTTATATCTCCGTGTTTCTTTTCTTTTTCTGCGATTTCTTTCTCGATTCTTGCCTCAACTTTTCTTACCATAGTTGCTCTTATTCTGTCAATTACACCCGGGTTAAACCAGCCATTTCTTTCTGTACACTTTCTTTCCTAGAACACAAATAATTAGGACATTGCAAGTAATACCAATAAATAAGCGATATAGATAAATAACTTTTCTGGTAAATACAAATCAGCAGGATTTGCAATTAACAAATTCTGTATCAGATCAAGGCAAACTTGCATGATATTATATATGCCAAACGCAATAGCAATATCAAATTATATTAGTTGAGTCGTAAGTCTTAATGTTTGACTGTTCTCACTAGGGCTTTACGATACCTTTATGAAACTGCTCATTGGTTACAACGAGCTGTAAACAATAAAGAAGCTTGTTGACACGACGTTGATTTACTTCAAAAGGATAGAAAAAGGGTCTTCTAGACTTACCCGGCTGCTTAAGGGATGAGGAGTATTCGGTAAGTGAGTATAAAGACAACGAACTTTTGCAACACAAACCATGACAAGATTATATTACAAACATCAATATTATAATACCAAATATCACTTAAAAGTAAAGTAATTCAAAGCGGATATTCTATTTCAATTGGTCACTATTTTTTACCAATGGATAATTGAAGAGATGTGTAGAAACACGTTGGCAATTATGCAAATTAATAATGTTTATAGGATATTCTGACACTGTATCATACTACCCCATTATCGAGTTTTCGAAGCGAAGCGCAAATATCGGCATTGTACCTTTAAGATATGTCATCATGGGCTTAAAAGTCTGATCGACATCACGGGCTTAAAAGTCTGATCGACATCACGGGCTTAAAAGTCTGATCGACATCACGGGCTTAAAAGTCTGATCGACATCACGGGCTTAAAAGTCTGATCGACAATGCTTTATTCAATAAAGATCCGACTGAATAGGCTTTACTCAATAAAAGTCTGCTGGATATGCTTATTCAATAAAAGTCCGACTGAATATGCTTTATTCAATAAAAGTCCGACTGAATATGCTTTATTCAATAAAAGTCCGACTGAATATGCTTTATTCAATAAAAGTCCGACTGAATATGCTTTATTCAATAAAAGTCCGACTGAATATGCTTTATTCAATAAAAGTCCGACTGAATATGCTTTATTCAATAAAAGTCCGACTGAATATGCTTTATTCAATAAAAGTCCCGGTGAATTTGTTTTTTCAATTAGAGTCTAATGGACTATGCTAATAGATGCCTATGTGTTAACTTAGCAAAATACCAAACAAATGTACCTATATTGTCCAAAAGATATAATATTATATAATATCGTCACGTAAAGATATTATATAATATCGTTACAGAAATTCTACGCGACATTTTGATATACAGACAATCCTGACAGCTTTGGAAAAGAGAAAAATCTCAAAAGAAAAGCAATGTTATCCTCCCTACTAGTCAATGTCAAATAACAAAATCGTGTTGTTTTATTGGAATGTTTTTGTGATACTTGCATGTGAGCACTAAACTAAACTTAAAAACTCGCTCAGAATGAAAAACAAAGTTACCTATGACAGTGGAAAGTGCCAGTGTTGCTATCAAAAGCACTTCAAAAAATCGTTCCTTTATGATCGCTATTGCAATAAATCATTGAAATCTAACAGAGCAACTTAGAAGAAGACACACATGAGCTGCGAGAGGAGGATGCTATTCTCAACAAAGGAACCCAACTTAATGGACAAAATAGGTGAATTGAAGACAGCGAAATTGTACAATTCTGTAATGCCAAACTGTGCTCTGTGTATGGGCTGCAAATAGACAATGTGATGCTTTACACAAGCACTGTGAATGTTTACAACTGCGAACATCGGAAATGAATTCATATATTCTGTGACCTAACTTGAA